TAGGGTAGCTATGAGTCGGAAACGACTCGATGGCACATAACAACAACAACAACATTCTGAAGTAGATCACCAGGGTTTTCCCTCCAGTCTATCTTGGTTTGAAAGTTTTTCTGAAAATTGCCGACCATAGGTGAGCCTGCTAGCATTGGTAATACCCATAGAAAATTTCTAGCACCATAGCTGCAAGCAGGACACCATGGTACGACACAGTGTCTGGAAGCTTAATTTTTAAGAACTCACAATTGTTTTCCCCCAACTAAAAACAACAGTCCTCTTCCTTACTTTCCTGACACAGAAAATCTTCTGTCTCTCCAAAGGAAGCTTTTCACATAGTGTTTCCTTCTCTTCCTGGGGCATGCTGTGGGAGGTATTGGCTTTATGAAAGACTCATTCTCACATGCTCCATGGATTAGGAATGTCATGCCTATGTTCACAGTTTCTGGAACCACAAGGGTTTCTGAATGTAGCATACTCTGCTTGTATTTAGGATCCCTTCTGTAGAAAATTCAAATTGAACTGATGAGTGAACGACCCCAAAGAAACCATATGCTTATAGTCGAAGGCAATATGCGTACCATTAATATTTGCCAAACTCTTCAGCAAAAGATATAGTGACCCAACAGTTCTGCTAGGAAATAAGTGATTCAATCAGCAGGACTACTTGGGTACATAGACTAGTGGGCCTGGGTCAGCTGATCTACCCAACCCTCCAAATTCAAGGCTGTCCTGTGAGCTGGCATCAGAATACCAGACACAAGCTTGACTTTATTCTTTCACTTTTGGACAGAGCATATTATTTTCTTCTCTATATCTGAAGCCTCAGTCGTTTACTCAATTATCTGTAATAAGTAGATAAACTTTCAGTAATAGACCAGTCTTACTCAAAATCATACATATGTTAGGGCAAGACATTTCATAAGCTGATCTGAACTCTTTCTAGAAAATTCTATTATACTGTTTTTTTTTTAATTTCTTCATGTTTCTAAAAGCTAAGTCTTACTAGACTGAATCAAATGTTAAGTCTATATTTTTACTAATTTTTTAATGGAAAATTCTGGTCTGTGAATATCTGTATGTCTTGTTTTTTCTTTAAAGAGTGGACCACTTACCACAAGAAACACAAGGGTGTAGCTGGAATGGTGTAGTGTGCACACTACCAGATCTGTCATGTTCCTTTCAGTCACTGCATTAGTCTACAGACCTGCAATATGCTTAGAAATCCTTTTAAATGTTGTTTCAAGAAAATGACTCTCTTCTTGAAGTCAGTAATTTTTAACTGTGGGCTGTTTCGTCAGTGTGTAACATGCTGAAACCACTCAACTGAAACAAAACATCTGCCACCTTCAACACCCCCCGGGGTCTTTTCTAGGAACTAAAGGAGAAACTAGGGTGGGCCTTACCAGTGTGGCTCCTCTTGTGAACCATGAGCACATTGGGACCGATGCAAATGATCCCACAGATATCACACTTTAGTTTTCCATTAGGAAGTCGAATGCCTCCAACTCCTGACAAAGCCTTGCTGCCTTGGTCACTGTGGGAGCCATTTGTTTTCTCTCCTGAGGCCTCAAGCATTCGTAAATCCTCCGCACATTCTTCCCCATTCATTTCACAGGCACGCCCATTCTCTTCATCACTCTGAGTCTCTACTTTAACATTACTGGCTGAAAGAGACAACACGGGAGGAAGGATGCTCAGTGTCATTGTAAAAACAGAGAAACTCAACAGCACAGCAACAAAAAGACAAGTGATGTGTAAACAGCATGAACAGTAACAGCAGTGTTAGCAGGACAGAGGATGCAAGCGCAACAGAGAGGTGTGCTCTGCGGTGCTCTTATGGCAGGTGTGCTGTGGGAGGGTACTGCACCCAAGTGACTCACCCACCCTCATCTTAGGCTCCAATGGAATCTGCACCCCTACTTTACAGAGAGGTCATAGGTCTCACAAGGTGCAGGCTCTGGTAGGAAGACTGTTCCACAGAATGCATACTTCATTCAGGTCCATGTCCAGCCCTAGTTGCTAGTTGCCATCAAATCTACCTGTGAATAACAGCGCTGGACAGCTGTTGATCCACTGTCTGATTTTATATTTTTTATTTTCTTTCACTGAAACATGCTCATCTTCACAGCAACACACATGAGGTGCATGGCAGGCCTCAAATCTGACCTTCAGGACAGAAGACAAGAATTTATTCACTTAACCATCACTGCCTTCTGCACAGCTCTCCAGGGTATAGAAACATCTTTAGCAAATTCCTACTAAAAGCTTACCAAGTCAGAAAAATATCTTCTACTTGTGTAGCACTACTTATCTTCTCATTTCAGGTCAGGTTTACTACAAACTAACTTTGGGATAAAATGATGTCAAGACCTACTTAGAGTACTGTTAATACATACTGAAGACTACTGCACATATTTCCCTCAGTTTCTTTGGAACATAATATCCTAACTCCTTCCCATGTTATAATGATGTAAATAAAACTTTACATCCTAAAGTAGAGGCATACATTCTTAAACATTATTTATGTTAAAATGATGAAATAAATTAGTGGGGACCGTTAAGGTATGTAAGAGATCCCAAAGGGCTTTTCTAAGAGGAAGAAATATACTTTTATTGGGGCCTGCGAAATCTGGAATTAATGAATATAACACATTATTGTTTTTATGCAGTAGCAAATTAGAATCAACTCATAATTAACCCTCTAGCTGGTTTTCAGAGGCTGCATGGGAGGAGATTGCCCATCTTTCTCCTGTATAGCAGCTGGTGGATTTGAACTACATGCCTTTTGGCTGGCAGTGCAGCTCCTTACCACTAGGCCACCAGAGCTTAAATTATTAGTATAATATAATTTTTAAATAATAAATTATCATATTTTTATAATAATATATATTACGATAATATCCACTGTTATTAGCATTCTCATTTCCTTTAAGTCATATGCAGGGTAATGTTTAAGTCATTTGTGTATTTTTCTTCAAAAAGAAAACAAGAGGCATTTTCCTGAAACATTGATTGATGATCACAAATGGATGAACCAGCACTGTAATGACTAACACACTGCAGCTATTCGGACAGTCATCATGTTAATGATGGTTTTTATAGAACAAGTAAATAAATTTTGCCAAGTAAAATAGTCTGTGAGTTAGATGGCAATGGAGATAACATAATTTCTGATCCATATTTTGAATCAGTGGTCCTCAAGGCATGGTCCCTGGGCCCACAACATCAGCTTTGTCTTGGACAATGCTGGAAAAGCAAAGCTGAGGTCCACCTGGACCTCTGGATCAGGGCCCTCTGGGGATGGGGCCAAACACCCTCCAGGTGTACTGATGCATGCTCAGGTCTGAGAAGAACAGTTTTCAAATTTAAACACTTTACGTTATATCCTTCCTTTTTCCCCCCCTGTGATTTTAATGAAAGTCTATAGAAAAGTTGGATTTTCATTCATTCCTTGTTGCTTGTTTTGCTCCCTCACTCTCCCTTCCCATCAGTTCACTTTTTCCCTAAAAATTAATTATCATACAATTGCCTGCATCCCCACCCCCCCAATAAAAAACCCACCAAAACCCAACTCATCCTTCTTTACTTAAAGGATAACAGACCAGACTTTGAAATAAAAATATCTGGCTTGGAAACTCCACTCTAACATTTATTTATAAAGTCTGAGATACTATTTGAGATACTTAACTGCTCAGTGCCTTGGTTTCCTCAACTATAAAAATGGAAACTGCTGCCATATGTGCCTGAACAGGGGAACTGTGAGAATCACCTGGGTCATAAGATATGTCACTGGACTAGAGCAGTGATAGAGCTGTGTGCTGCAGGGGGACTCACCTATGTAGCTGTACACTGAGTGGACTGCCATCCAACCACAACATGCACCATGTTACGCCCCCTCGCATTGCCCTGTAATAAGGCACTATTATCATTCCATTTTTACAGGGAGAGAAGCTGAGGCACAGAAAACCTGAATTACTGGAGGCTACACAGCTCTAAATGGCTGTGCTGGGAGGTGACTCTCAGCAGTCTGCCCCATGACCTACACACCTACCTATTCACCTAACCACCACACTAAACTGTTGTTTCCACTTAGTCATTGTAGAAAAGACTTTATAAATGAGATGACTGTGTGAGGACAGGCACCAGTCTTCACAGTACAATTACCAGGTGTGGAACTACCTGACATCTGAGAACACAGACCTGAGGACCACTGGCACCCTGCCCTTCTTTCTCTCTTTTCCCTGTATTATACACTCCCGGTACCACACAAGAATCCAAAAAAGCAAATGCTGGGATGATTTTCCCGAAGAGACCTGGGATGCAGAGGCAATGTATCCTTTAGCAGGTACCAACAACTGACCCAGACTGCCGGGACCAGGGACCAGGGACCAGGGACGAGGGATTAGGCCCTAGTTATGGTCTGCCTTCCAGGAAGTGGTGGCCGTGGCTGGTGAGTTCTCTCTGATCTGACCCTGTACGGTGTGTATTTTTAGGTATAAGTGAATGTGCTCAGTCCTGCCTGCTCCCTGGGCTGATAAGACTCTGTATACACAGCAATAAAGGTTTGAAGATCTGAGACTTCTAAACTGCGATTATTTTAATCTTTTGCATTCTGGTTTTAAAAATGAGAGCAGGACAATCAAGTGCACAGGAGAATAAACTGTTGTTGGTGTGCAAGTTTTTTCAACACGAATTAGAGGCCAGGACGCACAGCCAGTAGGCTGTGACTCAGAAGAACAAGTGGGTCATCTTCCAGCTAGTTTTTACACCTCTAAAGGCCATTGAAGGGATATTTCTCCTGTTGTCCCCAGGATGTCCATTAGTGAGGCACGGAAACAACACTGTGAAGAAGGCGCCTGTCTGTGCCCTGGTACCCGCCACGGATGTGCTAGTAAGAACAGCCTGGCCGCCTCTTGGTGTGGCCCAGGCAGGACAAGGGCGTGAAGGACAGGATCCCCTCCTAACAAAGGGAGGGGCCCCTGCAGGCTGTGCTGGAGCCTAGCAAAGTGTCAGGAAGAAAGGAAGGGGAGGACAGTGTGAACAGGAAGCTGGGGCAGGTGTGGCTTTAAAGCACAAAGGGTTGTTTACCTTTATCTTGTTGTGGTTGTCAAGTATCTTATAAATTCTAGATATAAATCCCTTATCTGACATCTCATTACCAAATACTTTTTCCCAGTCTATGGTTTCCCTTTTGATGCTGTTGGAGAAGTTTTTGGATGTACATAGGGATTTGATTCTTAGAAGATCCCATTCATCTATTTTATCCTCTCCTGGTTGTAGATTTTTCAAAATGGGAACAGGATATGAACAGACACTTTACCAGTGAAACCATTCTGATGGCGAATAAACACAAGAAAAAATATTCAAAATCCCTAGCTCTAAGAGAGATGCAAATCAAAACAACTAAGAATAAGAATAGCAAAATTTAACAGAACAGCATACAACAAATGCTGGCAAGTTGTGGAGAAACTGGAACCCTTATTCACTGTTGGTGGGAGTGTAAAATAGTGCAACCACTATGGAAGGATGTAGGTGCTTTCTCAAAAAGTTGCAAATAGAAATATCATTTGACCCAGCAATTCCACTACTGGGAACATACCCTAAAGAAACCATAACTGCCACCCAAGCAGATATATGCATACCCATGTTTATTGTGGCTTTGTTGACAATAGCAAAGAGTTGGAAGTAACCCAAGTGTCCATCAACAAACAAATGGATAAAGAAGCTGTGGTATATTCACACAATGGAATACTATGCTGCATTGCAAAACAAGGAACTCATGCAATATTATTCAAAATGGGTGACCCTGGAGGACATTATGCTAAGTGAAATATCTCAGTCACAAAAGGACAAATACTGCACAGTGCTACTGTTGTAAAATGGGACTGACTTTGGGGTTTAGGGAAGACTGAGAAATATGGGATAAATTATGTGTATTGCATTAAAACAGATGAAGGAGAGAACTATTTAAATAGGATATATTATCAGGTATTATTGTAATGGCATGAGTCCAGAATGAAGGCTGCATAGTGGAGCAGGTTGGGGAGAGGGACTGTATTACAATGAAAGAATTTTTCTTTTGCTTTTCAAGAAGAATAGCAAATTGGGGTGGGGTGTGGGCAGGGAGAAAAGTTCAACAATGAATGAATGGAAATCCAAAGTCTCTGTAAACTTTCATTAAAATTAATTTTTAAAAAAGCCACAGAGGTTTTCAAAACCAGAATACCTGATAAAAACCAACACAAACGAAGTCCTTGATTTCTGCTCAAACCCAACTGTGTCACGGTGAGCAGTGTTCCAGAGGAGGCTTTTGGGGAGCTTTCTGAGCTTTCCTTCATAGGTGGTTCTGGCTGGCAATGAGCTCTTGGATGGCAGCTGAGTGTGTTTACTGTTTGCAAAACTCATCACTCAATCCAGGAGGCCTGATACCAACTGCTGACCTGATGAGGAGCTGCTCATGGAAGGAGGACTGTCACTACTATATTACGTGAGAGCCACACAAGCAGAAGAGAAGAGATGGTGAAGAGCAGGTCACATCATAAACCTTTTTGTGACTACTCAGGCACAGCAGTGGGCTTTTCTTCCAGTAATTGTAGCTAACCTTGAGGAAAATGGGAATCTCAGAACACTTGATAGTGCTATATGAAACCTATACTTGGACCAA